AGCTGTAGTACCCCATAAAAAGATATAGAATTCAGAAGAGTAAGGTGGGCGAGGGGGAGAGAAAGTCAGAAAATCTAAAAGCTAAGGTGCACCCTGTAGACGAGAATGAGAAACCTTAAGAAAATAGAGTACGACGTCCCAGGTCGTCGTCTGGCACAAAAACCTAGAGCTGCCTGAGGTGGCGATGGGGAAGGATGGCAGCTATGGAGGATGACTGCTACTGTAAATCACGGAAACTCATTAAAACCTGTCTTCGAGCTGGATGACACAGGGGATGATCGAGTCAGGCCATTGGTCACACCTGCTCAAGTTTCAACCCCTGGTAAGGTGGATGCTGGTTGGTAGCGTCGAAGCTGGCGCAAGCGGCGCCGAGACGTAGGACCTCGACGACGTTCCCAGGTTCAGGGAAGTGGCGCATTGTGGAAGAGGATTTAGGAAAAGAGGAGGAAAAGAAAGAGGGTCCAGTGCTTTAGGAGAGGGTGGTATGGGCTCATCATTTTCGATTTTGTTAATAGTACGGACGATTTGTACGACGGCAGGAGTTAGGGGAGGCTTTTGTTAAGCGAGGGCTGCTTGATGAATTTGGAACACACACGCACCCCTTCGAACACTTTGGTTCTCTATTGCTCCGAACAATGCCTGGAACGCTGCTCCCTTATGGGAGGGCCACTTTGCTACGGGGAAAATGCGAAAATAAGTTATTGGCTGTAGGGATTGCTAACGGGGTGGCTGGGGGATGAAGGGGGGGTCCCTGTAAAAATGAAACGACAACGGGTTCTCGTTACTGGTAATGTGTTTGTCGTACTATCGAGTGCCGCGCTTTCATTATTTGACCCTTTTGCTCTGTCCACCCTCATCATTATTACGTTTTCACCCTTTTACCCTCGCGCCTCTCAAAACTTACCTAATGCGATGCTGGGGCAATGCCAGTGACGTCATAATTTTCTCATTCTCCAACCTTCGCAAGAACGTCCAACGTCTATCCGTCTACTTGTGAGTTTGCAGCTACATGATATATTTATGATAGTACTTGACACTAAAAATACATGGGGCGACTGTCATGGCGCATCTCTACTACTTTCTATTACGTTTTTATACCGTGGTTTAAAGTGTCACGTATTTCCGTAGAGACACAGTTTCCTGTTGCGAAAATACTCAGCGATTCCAGGAGGTACCTATAGCTTAGTCAGACTGCATGGACGTTGTGTCTACTGACGTCGACTTTGCTACCTTCCTTCTGACATGGTCTTTCTATTAATGTTGCTGTTCAAGCTCATAGTATACTCTGATCGTGACTAATTTTCTATTGCAGCATCTCGTGTGCTGGAATTCAAAAAGAACATGGAGTTACCTTCGCATCCTGCGTAGTTCTATAGTTCCTGATGGTTTTTAGCAATAGTTCCAATCAATATGTTCTAGAAGGTTCTCTTATAAAATTTTTGGAACTCGACGTAAAATTCTTAAAATCAGCCTTCGAGACGTGGAATCAGTAATCCTCGTGACGTCATTCCTTGAAATCTGGGGTTGCGAACCTTCGAAGACTTTGGTAAATATCGGTCCAGGAATCTGTGTCCAGAACTTCCCTTGTTATACTACTCGTTTCCAGATGTACGAGACTGGATCATCCTCGTGTTCTTTTTCGAGGAAGCTTCTTCAGGGGAAGATGCTAGATGAAATTCTTGATGAGGTCTTTCTACTAGAAAGAATCCCTGAACAGTTCCTGGAGAAGACTTACTTGTCGAGTCTATGGGGAGATACCTACTTAAGATGGTCCAGTTGAGTTGGCACGTAGCTACTCCAGTTACCCAGGTGAATTCAAAATGTTTAAAACCAGACGCCAGAGCCAAGGTAAGGTAGACTACTAGTTGGTAACCTTGTTGGAAAAATCGTAGAGTATTGTCAAAGGAGCGAAAGAGGCACACTTCAGCAAATGGTTAACACTCTAGTAGTTCAAGCACCCCTGGTGTTACTAGTAGTGCCACTGGTACTCCACTGGCACCTGCTGAGCACCACAAAGTCCTCCTAGCTGGCCTCCTCACGTCACATGTATATAGTTCTGCTGTTCTTTGGTCGTTGAGAACACAGACTTTAGTTAGGATCGAGCGTCGCTCACAGGTAAGAGGACAATTTCTATTCCAAGGTTGTCTCTGGATTACATTTTTATTTTGTAGTTGAGAGACTGAATGCTGAGATATTGAATCCTGGAGTAAGATCACTTTTCCAACATGAAGTGACGCCTTCAAAAAGTAAAGCCTGAAACAAAGTACCTACTGATATTCTGAAGTGGCAAGGATAGAGTAATTCAGAAAAAGGACTTTGGCAACCGCTGCAGAACTGTACTAAAAGAAAGTAAAAGAGATCGTGAAGTCGATTAAGAATCTGGCCAGCCATTGGCCTGGTCTTCAGCAAGGTAAACGATCATATAATGCTGCATTCCCAATGGACGCTGTATAAACTTGGCGACTGTTCCTTTTTAGTATTTATCGTTCTTCTGATGTCCTGCGTCCCGATGCCCAGCACCATCTTCACTGGATACGTCCATGGTGAGAAGGTCGACTGCTGCTACTCACGCAATTTCATCGTCTATGAAAGTACTAGTAAGTCTACTGGTACGGATACTTTTAGTGGTGGCAGAAGGTATAGGAAATTGAACAGGTTGGCACTACTGTCTACTATATGTACACGTAGGTGCTCATACGATCTGTGCTTTACAATCTAACCGAACGATTTACCTAGCCGTGACCAGGATTCAAACTCCTGGGCTAAGTGATTGGCTCCAGTTACTCCTGCTTCTAGTATTCGCTTGGTACATTAGCGAGTATCGATCCAGAAGAATAGGACCATACGTGAGAACGTATCGGATGGCAAAATATATATACACAAGCATACACATACTGTTACGTATTCAATGGTGGAAACTTCGATTCCGGGTATAGCAAATGGCCGCCGGTAGTAGAACCATAGCTTGTGATTAAACAACAGGTTGTCACGAAATGTTGATAAATTCAATGGAATTTTGGGGAAACTGGCGAACACTATGAAAGGCTATGAAATCCTGACGAGTGTTCTGGATTGGTCAGAGGGTAATGCTGACCAGAATCCGAGCCCGGTAGCCTTGGGCGTTTTAGTTGGTTTCTGTAATAATGGAAACGCAGTGTAATCGCACTTGGTGCACGTTCACGGTTTCTGCCGTAACGTTACGCTGGAATGATGTAGCGTTGTCGGGACGATGAATAACCTGAACACGCCCGGGGCGATCTTCGACGAAGAGTTGGCGAGCATGGAGTATGGTGCACTGCTGAGATTTCAGGAGGTTCGACTGTATAGGCGCGAACGACGGGGAAGACACTCAGGCGCTTGGGGCGTCGCGGTGGTCGAGTTGAGATATTGGTGTGGAGGGGGCTGAACGGAGGGTTGGTTCTCGGAGGTGGTAATATATGAGGGGGTAATTTTCTCGGCAATATTCCAAGGAATTTATGGGTTATTAATTTTATGAACCGCCGGGCTCCCCGTAGCCGAGCATATGTGCCACTCGTGGCGATATCTCCATTAAGTTGGCTGCGGCTGCTGCTTCTTGGGTTTAACGTTTTACGTCTCACTCTTATTAGACTGTCAGGACCTCCTCTCGAGGTACTCATGGAATTTCTCGTAAGACGCGGCCACCGGGACTGACCCTTATCTTCTGGCTGAGGTACAGCGAAATTAAACTCGTTTCTCAGAGGGCGCCTGTAGGTCCTTGGAGTTTACCCAGGAGCTATAGCAACCCCAGGACTCCCGCTTAATTAATTAATTCGTTAAATTTCATTAACTACGTAAAGAGAAGTACGATCAGGTACAAAAGCAGAAGCAGCTGAAACTGTAAGCCTGTGCCGCAGTGGCTGTCAGTATCGTAATTAGAAGGCAGAGGAAAACGGATGACGAGGACGGGAACGAGTCCAGGAGGTTCGGAGTGAATATTTTGTAGAAAAAGCGGTAAATAAACGTGAACAAAAGTGAAGACAAAGAGAAACGAGAACTGAGAAGGAAACGGAGGGTGAATAAAGTACGTTGATGTGAATACGTATTATAAACCCCTATGTGCACACAAGGCTCGTCCCTTAAAATCAGAGGGTTTGAATTTCATCCCCAATAGGATGAGGTCGTCGGCGGCTCCGTCGGTTGCGTCGGTGGCCTTATCAGGCTCTGCTTGGCTTTGGGGGATCATTAGGCGTATGTGTCGTACTCCCTGTCCCCAAGGGCACAGGGGGATGCTTCAGCTACTCCAAGGGATGGCATACGTGGAGTCGAGACCACACTCTCGCACCGCAACTAACTAGAACCTTCAGTCTGGAACCTTCTCCTGACACCCTGAGACCCCTAGCCGGCTTATCTTGGAAAGGACCGCGAGGTCGCACCCTTACACCCCCTCTTCCTGGGACCAACCGCGTCCTTTATTTCGGGCTAATGTTGCGTGATAACAACTACCCAGCTCCGTCATCCCCATCCAAACTACCCCGTGAAGCTTATACGCACCAGCGCAGCTTCCACGATCACCTTCAGCCCCCCGACGCTATTAATACCCTGCAACTTCTTAAGGCCAGCCGAGTACCATCGAGCCTCTGGGATTACCAGGAGACACACAACCCTTACGAGAATCGAGTCACCCCCTTCTTCTTTCTCCTCTACCTCTTTCACTTGGTCTTGTCAAAGTTTATGGCAGCCTCCATTGAAACACTTCATAATGCATAAGCATTCTCTCCTCTCCCATTGACGGTCCACCCCTTCGTACTCTGGTCATTCCTTAGCTTGCTCGGCGACTCTTTAAGGAACTCCCTTTTAAACCACGCTGATCTAATGGTAAATATTACTAAGTGTCTAAGAGTCGATAAAAACCCTTGGACCAAAATGCGATTAAAAAATTATAATTCTGATAAGCTGGTTATACGCTTCGCTACTCAACTCGCTTATGTTTATCCGACTAGAGAATTTTCTCAGGAAGTATTATTGGGTATTCGTAATCGTCTTTTTTCTCGGTAGATTTTATTATGTAATATAAACTTATGTGTTATACATTGCTACATGTTGCTTATTGGCTATAGTTCCTATCGGCTAGGTATCTTAAAGGCTAGAATGCACGGTGACTTGTACAGAATCATCATTATGTGTTATCGTCATTATCATCTTTCCCTAAGGTCATCGTCCCGTCGCGTACAATATATGGTATATATATGTATATACTCTTTTTTGTTTCTTTCTTTTTTTATTTTCTCTTCATTTGTTAATTAATGGACTCTGCTCGTACCTGGTGAACGGATCTCGCATGGTATCCTTGCGTTAGAGTCTCCAGCTTATAAAATGTTAAATTTACTTTTGCTAAGATTAATCACGGCTTGGACCCACCTTAGCAATAGCAGGTGGCAATACAGTGAATTATTTCAGTAGCAGTCGATTCTGTCAACAGAGTGAATTTTTAATCGAACGACAAAGAGGCGCACCGAGTTGGCACATTTTTTTGATTTGAAAGCGTCGATCGATAATTATTTTGTTTTCACATCTCAATTTATTCCTTTTTTGTTTGTTCGGAGGTAAATTAGGATTTTCTAATTGTTACTTTATTTGTGCTAATTGAAATTTTCATAGTAAGCATTTTACTGCTTTTGAAATTTGACGTTGGACACAAGCCGGTCATTTATGGGCAATAATAATACAATCCTATAATTAAGTAGTTACGGTTAAACGTTAGTTATTAATTATTATCGTTAAGTTTTATTCCTACGATATAATACACTCACCTAAGACGTACCTGATATTTTGTAAAAACGTCCAACCACCCTACAAGAAACACAGTGTGTTTGGTTCTATGTGGCAGTCGGAGTGAATTTCGCAGGACGACCGTATAGGTTTTTTAAGTTTTTGACATTTTACACTCTCAAACTATCCCGCAATTAAACTTTTTGATCTTTCATTCTGCATTTTGTCCTTCTTTATTTATTTTCTATTCAAACACTAGCATCATGCTTTTCTTTAAATGATTTAAATGGATCAGCCCCGCCTCTAGCCAAATTGTACAGCCAAGTTAAAATCTTTGGAAAACGTTTTGGTTTCGAGTTATTTTTTCAAGACTCAGAGATTGTCAAAAGTCAGAGCTAACAGCTAATTGGATGACTGGCTGGGCGATTGAATGGTAGCCAGGATTCGACTAATAGAATTCTGATCTCAGGAACATTTTTAATGAGATTAATACGAGATACTTTCCCATCGTGATCCTTTCATCAAAATATTATACCGAGAAGGAAGGATCCAGCTGATAATTGGTTTGGGCTAGGTTTTTTGAGAATCGTCCATCCTGGTCCACTCGTGCCTTTTCTCGGTTGAAAAGCGGAGCTTTGGTAATTGGAGAAGAGGAACTCGAGTGATCTCCTCGAGATATCGATAAATCCTCATCAAGGAGATAGAGAGATAGAGAAATTCAGCTCCTCGCTCAGTGAGATTCGAACTTCCGGTTTCCCTTGGCAGCCAATTCCCTCGCGCTGTTCTAAGGATCTTCAATGACTAATCAGCCAGCGGTTCTTGACGCTTCTCGATGGCTCAAAGCCACAGTCCTTCTTGGACTCGGACTGGCACGCACAGCACATTAATTAAAATATCTTTGGTTGCAATCATAAAAAATCCTCCCGAAAAAGAAAAACGCTCTCTCGTCTACATCAAAATCGAGGTTGAAATCTTTGGTTGTCTGGTTTATCGGTTAGTTGATTGGCTGCTTGATTAGTATCGGTTAGATCGGTTCGATTTATACAAACTCGTATAAGACTGTCAGATTGCAGATCAGTTTTGTTTTCAGAGTCGAGGAGACGACGAGGAGGCTTCAGGATCCCGCCGAGGAAGTTTTACCACTGGTAGGCGTCGACATTGGACTTTGAGTTCTCAGGGCAGGGACTGACGCTGCCACACCACTTGGTTTCCTTCAACGGTAGACAGGGTGTTCCACCCCTGCGAGGCTTGATGGTAACTTTCCGCGTCCGCTGCGTCTCGCCAACACCACAGCTGCGACTGCATGCGCTCCACGGACCCCATTCGCCAACCTTACAATCCCTGGGCGGACCTGGAACCACATTTTCACTTTACAACATTACCAGGAACCCCTGTTACGTTTTTATATTTTACACCTAGGGCCAATGCTGCTTCTGCTGGACTTATGTTGCCTGAGATTTAGATACGTGTGAGAGCGCCCACACTGTAGCCGAGTGTTGTGATGTGCTACTGAGAAAAAGGGTGCATAGGGGGTGGCGGGTGATGGCCGGAGGTACAAAGGGGATGTAGAGCTCAACATTGGCCCTATACGAACATTCAACATGGAAAGACTCACGGACAGCGTCTGTATGCGTAAACAGTGTATGAGAGAGAGAGAGAGAGAGAGAGAGAGAGAAAAAAAGTGAATAAGAGTGAAAGTAAGAGAGTAGCAGTACTTTGATCGTTCGCACGAATAATATGGCCATTCAACGGCGAACGGCTTTTGCATTAACTCCCTATAAATGAAAAATTGCACTGGCGTCATCAAACGCGTTACTTCAAAATGCATCCTGCACTGCCAATGCAAAAATTCAAGGGATTCGGAAATCAAAGGATTCAGCAAGTCGCCCTTATTTACTTGGCTCAATAAACAAACCGGAAACTCCATGTAACATGACGACTGGGTATACAAGGAATGTGACATAGGTCAATTAACGCCTTGCAGCAGGCAATCCGACACAGGGATCAACGTAGCAGCAATTTAAAAAAAATGATCATTGCCAAATTTGACTTACGGACTCGCGGATGTTTTCCCTTAGAAAGAAGCCTATGGTGCTTCATCCTGAGCCTGTGCAAGTATTCCGTCTCAGTGACGTTCGGCCAGGAGCGACTCGTCCCGTTCGCTATCTTCCTCTGTATATCCTGGTAGATCTGAGCCTTCTGAGCCTCCGCGTTCTGTCGTTGCCTCTGATAATAGGGCCAGACAAGCTTACCCTCGGATTTCCCAGTCTGACCGTTACTATCCCCAGGGCCCTTGGGAGGCCTGGGATAGGGCGTAGGGGTAGCAAGGAGTCTGGGACGCTGAGCGTAAGACGAGGCGATACTGCTGATTATGGCTGCTTTGTTGTCCCTGGGAAGATCGGTCACCGGTTGTCCACTTCCGGTGGTCCAGTATCTGAAAGTCAAACGAAACAAGTATAATCCCACGTGGTCCATCGTGAAATTCTCCTCTTTTAAATTCGTTCGATAAACCCCGTTTCTCCACCCGGTTCTCTCTGCAGGATCAGTGGAGCGGAGTGGTCCCTCTTTCCCATAAAGGATCGAAGTCGAAGGACGAAAGGATCCTGGTAATACGTGAAAACAATTTCAAGACTTGATTTACGAGGGCTATATATAAACTGTATAGAGAGGACGCCACGAGGATCTATATCTTCTGCCGGGAGGCATCCTCTTCTTTTTATACCGAGGATGCTTTTGCTCCGTTTTGATCTTCCTATTCATTTTTAAAAAAACGCAGCGTGCGCGTTCTGTCGTTACCATGGGAACGATCCTTTATTCGAGGATACAGAAACTTTTGGATTTTTTCTACTCTCTGGCGAATTCACTCCGGTCTATACCTTCGTGCAAGACTACTCTCCATGCTTATAGTCCAGGATGGGGACAATGGCTCTTCAGCCGATTGCCAAGAACACGCTAAGTCGATGGATGCACGCTACCTGGGGTCTCTGCCTTCTTCATCGACAGGATATTGCCCCTCCCCCCCCCACGTTACAAAACCCTTCTCCGTCAGCTACTATTGCCCATAACGGCGCGTGGGAGACCTTACGGAGGTGCCGAAGGTTCACCGGAAGTACAAGAGGATGGATTAACCCAGTGAAGGGTAGCTGGGTGTTGCCGACGCTGCCGAAGCCCATCGACGTCGTGCATCGATTTGACACGGACTACCGGATATTACGATGATAAGGACCCACGGCAGCTGAACCCAATAACGCCGTGTTAGTTCGGGCCAGAGGACCATATACTTCTTTCATACCCTTCACGTTACTTCTGCCCTTTTGAACTTCCCCCGTCGATAGTTCCTATCAATTTGAGATACAACAGGATATTACTATAGGAAAAGAACTCGAGGAATCGATTTGCCTGTCTATAGGTTTCGTATGGGCAGTGTCTAGGAAGTTTGCTAAGTATAAGTCAGGAAGACGGTACGTGCAGTTGTACATAGTTGGGTCAGAGGTTATGTATACAGTCGATGGGGTAAAAGGTAAAAAGAAATTGGGACGAAGAGAGGTGGAGGAGACGGGAGGAGTTCGAACGTTAACGCGACGTTGACGCATGGCAACGACGTACGACGTTTACTCTTTTTCTCTCTGTCGGTAAAACAGAGAGGCAGAGGCTGCATAAGAGAAACCAGGAGAAAATTCTCTCGCATGGCAGACACTAGACTATAGTTTAGGTACACGTATCTCTCTAGGTATGTAAGAGTAAACGGGAACCTGGGGAAGAACCAAGGAAGAGAGGAGATCTCTCAATCTCCACGTGAAATAGCCACCCCCGCCATAAAAGTTAAAGAGAGAAGAAGGTCTTCCTGGCTTGTGGCTATGGGCGATGGATACGAAGAGAGAGGGAGAGAGAAAAAAGAGACAAAATAAAAACCTCAAGATCTATAGGGTGTTTCTCCCAGGTTGAAGATCCTGCACACTGGGAGGCTGCTCCTTTCCAGGTTGTTTAGCCGATCAAGTCCTATTTCCAAAGCACTTTGCGATACCCGAGACACTGACGCACGAATCCAGTGTACGTGATAAGATCCTTCAAGACGGGCAGCCATTTGAGTATTCTGACTTGGAAAAAAAAAAACTACCTGGCAATCTCACGCTCTACATACAAAAGCTTCTTCGCTCCCTTGACTACTCCCCTACACGGTTACCTCAGTGTATATACACTAGCGGTGAGTCGACTATAGGTAATGCAAAGTGTCTAGGAGAATGCAGAGTCTACTAAGATGAACTCTGCCTGCCGTTTTGCCTTATTAGCCAAGAGTAGACTCGGGCAGTGCTGCACAAACCAAGGAGTCTGGTAAGGACCAGCCAGTGGGAGGCTGGATCGAGAGATTCCAGGTAAATAAGTCTCGGAAAGTGGAATCGGCAAATGGGTAAGAAAATCAGCGAGCCGAGATTCCCCGAGATTACCCAGAATTCCCGTGGAAGTATTGACCGGACCTGGCGCCGCATCTACCTCGTCGGTGTAAAAGTCTCCGTGGTAGCAGACAATCGAAAAAGAAAGAAAAAAGGAATAAAAACAAGAACGTAGAAAGGTGTAATAAAAATATAATAAAATTGAAAATACCTGTAGCGTTGAGAATCCATTTCGCGACGCTCCTCGGCGATTGCTTCGTTCAGGTCGCGGTTCGGGTCGACGTCTCGTAGCGTCGGGACGAAATTCTCGCTGCTCACGAACTCGACCTCGACGTCATCCTCGTGATAGGTCTCGGTCAGCGTATACTCCCTCAGCTGGAAGATCAAGTGGAATTCACTATTACTGGAAGTCTCCATTATAAACTGCATTACCGACTGAGCAGCCATAAACTGTCAGAATAGAGAAGGCCGTTTCTAGCGCGTGTTTCGAACAACGGCTATAACCATATTGAACAGCACATAGCTGAAAGCGTGTATATCAATACCAGAGACTATGGTCCATGCCTTGAGCCAAGCTCTGACAATCGGCCGACGTGGTCCATAAACGAAAAGATCCAGGATTAGTATCAGAGCCCTGCATCGCCCACAGCTTCCTCTTCTCTAACGACACACGTGTAAGACAAATTTAGTCCTGCTTGTCCGTGTTTACTGAAAAGATTGATACAAATTCAAGCTCTTGTCGTGGCCGTGCAATCCAGGGGCGTATCCAGTGACGGTGAAAGAGGGGTGATTGGGGGAAACATAAAAGCAACCTTTGTACTCGGATTTTCTTTCCGACCCTTAAGCAGCTCGTGTATCTTTAGGGGGAGGAAGGTCCGAGGACGCAAGGGGAGGGGGGAGACGACGATCTTCCCTCACGAGATGGACGCCCGGCGTCGACTAACGTAAGACGATCTACCTACCTCCCCCTCTCTGCCCCTTTCTCACAGGAACTCCCAACGAGTGTAATAGGGTGAAAGAGAATGCTGAAAAAAGGAAAAGCTCTAGGAAATAAGTGGAACTTGGAAGGAAGAAGCGAAACAGCCAGCGAAAGGCCAAGACTATTTCTACCGGGCAATTAGTCACTGCCCGTTCTGCGGCACGAGCGAATTAAAGCCAATGAAAGTTTATGGTCTATGCTTTACTCTGCCTTTAATTCTCTCTCTCTCTCTCTCTGTCTCTCTCACTCGTGGTCCTTTGTCTTATTTTATCCTCTTTCTTCGTACGTCTATAATTTTACGTGCGAAGTAAGTTCTGACGTTAAACAGCCTTTTTATGGGAACGAGATGGCCCGGATGTAAAGTTGTGAAATTTTTATTGCGAGTCAAATTGCTTCGGTGGTCCAGATGGGAGGCTGCGCATGGGACAATAATTTGATAGGTAATTGCTAAGGAGGGTTACGTCAAGCGAAGATTTTATATTCGAAGAGCTGCCAGCTCAAAGAGGTTCTTCTTCTTCTTTCGACTTGTCGATTCGAGAGAAACGATAATTAACGTTTAATTAATCGATCCTCGGTGTCATTTCCAATTAAGGATCAATTAATTACTTTTATACGTTCGCCAGCTAGCTTGGCTCTGATCGAGAGACAGGGGCTAATTCCTTGATTGGCTGATTGCTCGATTGGCTCAGTTACTCACGGGACGACTGGCTACCAAAGACAAGGCGAAGTAGATACAGTATCTACTGGTCAGACTGAAATCGGTTAGCTCGATCGGACGGAATAGTCCGTTATTGCTTATCAGCTTATGAATTTACGCGCAGAGCCGTACAGGCGCGAGAAACGTTTAATTAATAACAATTGTTAATTAACGCACGAGAGGAGGGGAGCCAGTTTTCCAATTAACTATCGATCCACTTGAAAGTTACGAGGTCGACCTGGAACATAGTGTATAGTCGACGCTCGGCAACTTCATCAAAAAACTCACCCTTAACCGCCACTACCACCACCACCACCACCACCACTATAACCCCTGAAGTTCATTCAGTAGACTAAACTTTCAACAATTGTGTACCAGAATTGAGCTATTACTGTCGCTACACTTTCCCTCGTAGAAACGCGACGAAAAACTCTCTCGTGAAAGTGTTAGCACAAGGGTAAACAGAGTGACGAGGATTGATTAAAAAAAAATACAGCGTGCCATTATAACGAAAATAAGGGATGGTCAGAGAGAAATAATTAAAAAACTAAACTAAAAGAAGAAGCAATCTTTTTAGGTTAACCACCCGCATTGCTAATCAATCTTTTGAACGAACCTTTCGATCTGCTTCCGAATGAAAATAAACTCGGCGATCGTGAGATCAACCTGAGAATTGGTATTACCCGTCGATAATCCATATCAGCAGCCATTTTCCTGTATCGGATAGGGTTTCTTTATTTTGGAAAGAAATAAAAAAAAAAGTATCTCTGAATACACCAGACGTTTGGATATCAATGGGGAAAGGCGTCGGTATTGGCGGATAATAATTTTCCCAATGCTCTTATGGGTTCGTATAAAAGCATGAAAAAGCGCATCACGCGTTTCATTAACGAAGAAAGAACGTTCGGGCTTTGATTCGGAGAACGACGAGCAGCAGCATCCACAACGGACGACTGAATCCCACTGCTGTTTACACGAGGTATGTTTGTGCGTTCGTTTACGCCGATCCGGTGCAGCCGCCGCCGGGTAGGCGTCGACGTTGACCGGTACCCATCCGACCGGTATTCACGGTTTGAACGCGCCGTCGTATTCGCGGGGGATGTAAATAGAAATTCGAAAAAAAATTCTCTCAACGCAGTAATGGCTGCCAGGACCTCCCGGTCTGCGTCGTGTAAACGACACTCCCGTTCATTAGCGTCCCGTGTTTGGCAGTCGGAGCGTCGACCGAACGAAGCTTATAAACTTTCATATATATTTAACAAACGCGTCGACCTGAGCCTCTATACAATTTATTAGCGCAACCGTACACACACGTGGGTGCACGTGTAGCGACGGTTCGCCAGCCGCACGAACAGACTTCCGGAATCCCGTCCGTTTTCTATTTGCCAAGGAAACTCGAACAACTCGCATAAATTTCCCCGATCAGTTTTTGGGGTGGTGGACATCGGAAGGGGAGTCGAGTGGCGGTGGTCCACAGGGAGCCGACCAGTCCGTCGTCTCACTTTGCCAAAACTACCCTTAGGACCTGAATCTCATTGCTGACCCGTGCAAGCATTCAGCTGGCTTTTACAATGTCGATCTCTACATCCCTAAACCCATGAGTAGACCCTCTGCTTTTGTCTATTCTTCTTTTTTCCCTCCTGGCTCCATCTCTCCGTCCCTCTCTTGCGCACGTCAAATGGTAAAGACACGTGGTCGACACCGTACAGCCAATGGCCACCCAGTGAACCAAGCATCGACTATCATTAGTTCCAAGTGACCGTTGCTATTTTCTTTTTTCACTTGGGCTCCCTGCAAAAGAATATCAAAGTCCAAGCATCCGTCCTGCCACCTCGTGGACGTTATAGGAAGCTAAGAATAAAAGTAGACAAGTATATAAAACGTTATCTACCTGCATTATAAGTATGCCATATACACTGTACACGTGGCTATGCAGCTTATCACCGAGTCAATTTGCCAGACAGCCATAGTCGTGCAGATAAACGCTCAAGGCTCTTGAAATATACGTAGTTGGTAGCTGATAGTACAGTGACGTCAGTGGGTGACACAGGAGGGGTTGGACCGGAGTCCCTTGGCTGAACAGTGTTATAGGGGGTTGTTAGTGTTAACATGGGGCGACCTTGGTGTCCAGGGTGCTCTGGGGGGCGGCGGGGGGTAGTAGTGTCAGTGCAGCCAGTGAAAAGACAGGCCGTGCTGTCTGCATCGTTGTGGTTCTCCAGTTGGGGGAGGGAATAGAAGTAGAGGTCGAATATGTTTCTAGCCATTCCGCAGAGGAACGCGGCGCCACAAAACCACCCCTATATCACCTTGCGGTTTCGGTTATAGTGCGAAGCCCGTGAGAGGCTTCGGACACAGTTCAGTAAACCACCCCTAGAATATATTATACTACTGGCGGCTCTCCGCTACCACGATGAGCCATACGTTGGTCAGTACGAGAATGGCTCGTAAATTTTTCTCTTAAAAGGAAAAGCCAAAGGCGTCCCGACGCCCGGTCTCCGACTTTTTACTACGTTTCTGTTTTACGTCTTCACCCGTAAGGGATGAAATCCGAGACACCTGTTAACTAGTCCGAGACAGTAGGGATGATTGGTTATTGAACAGTCGGCACTGTATACATTGGAGACTGAAGATATACCCTCTATAGATATATAAATCAGGCGTCGGGACGCTCCTGGCGTCGACGTCCCTTAAAATGTATTATAGCGATTTCTGACAGACGCAGCCATTATGTATCTTTAGGGCGCTCTTTCAAGATTTACAGTCGAGGACCTGCCCCCCTTTTCCTACCCTTTAGATAATTTCATTGGCAGCTGCTGATTCTCGCGGTACTAAGGGCTCCGTTTAAGGGTTGCTCGCAAAGGGGTTAATTTAGCATGAAAATTAAGGAAAAACTCCTCTCGCTACCGGGAGGTACGCCGCGTTCAATTTCAGGAATTAACGTTGCATAACTCGTTGTAGCACGTCGCCACTACTGTCAACCCTTGCAGCAACTACCCTTAGTCCGCTTTACTCGCAACGATGAAAACCAGCGGTCGCAGTGGTTAATTCCTCGATTGTCAGACAGGCGTGACAAATTCCTACGAACCGTGAGGTACTCCGGTCGAACACACGTTCTACAATACGTGTCCGCAATGTATATATAATTTCTCCGTGTTATAATTTCATCCCCTCTCGTTGCACCCTCCATTGGGTCCAGCCGCGCTTCCCTGACGTCGCTAATCGGGAGGACGATGCAGTCAATCCTGGTAACGGTGCATGCAGGTATCCCACTGCTATTAGGATATTGGTTCAATGGGGTGTTGGGTTCGATTAGGATGGACCATAGATTTCCATAGATGGTCTCGTGCATTTAGTATCCGCTGCCGAAATTTGGTCATGATGTTCGTCCATTATGCTCTTCCACCCGTTGCATTGTCCATCCGATTTTTCATCGATCGAATTTGGGTGCGTGTCAAATATTCATCTGCCCGTCAATTTATCCGTCCGACGGTCCAACAACCCTGCGTCTGCCTATCGATATGGGCAGGAGTCAAGTAGAGCACGTGAGCCACGGTATCGGGGAATTACGTAGTAACGATATATAGCGGGATTGAGTATGGTAAATCGAGGGTAGATCAATAATTCGTGATGAGGCTCGTGGCAGAGGGTCGTCCAGTTAGATGGCAACGATCGTACCGGGGATGAAAATGGTGGTTGGTTACAATGCTGGCAAGGACCGGCTCACCGAACCAGGGTATTAATCCATGGTGAATTAAATCACGTTCAAGCTGTAATAAAGTCCAGTTATCGTTGTTCGACCGTGAGAAGGGCGGAGAGGGTGACTGTACAGGGCAGAGACGTAGGCAAACTGCCATGGTTAACCAACTAAAATCCAGCCCGAATTCGCGTCGCTGGTGAACTAACCAAGCGTCGGCTGTAATATTAAAAATATGTAAATTACCTGTACGTACAGTGAATTACGCTGTGGCGTCGCGAGATAAGTTGTATGGATGAAAAATGTTAAATTCGGTAGCAGTGGCTGCGTACCTGGTCAGGTGTGTATTTCGTATGGTTCTACAAGGGGGATGAAAATTGGGGGTGAGGTCACGAGGGGTCGAGGGCAGTAAATAGTCGGTATAGCAGGTAGAGGGAGTTTCGAGCACGTTTTCGGTCTGGGCCCTGTGGTGCCGGTTATAAATTCTAGGCTCCAGACGTGCAGGGGTTGGGACTTCGGTCAGGGGTGGTTTCTTTTTTCCCCGGGGGTTGCTTGAGAGGGTAGTTGCCCTCGCACGCTCCTAATGCCCAGGTCGAAGCGACATGCAGGGCCGTGGCGAAGCCTCGTGTGCAAATATTAAGTTCTTCTCGCAAAAGGAAACCTCGAGACCCATTTACAGTGGTTGTTTACCCTTACGGCTACGTGCTTCGAATGGTCCTTTTGGGATTTCGCCATTTTTTTTTCACCCCTCCGAATTTCCAATATCTCGTCGGACGAGACTCCTCTTTTATTCTTTGCTCTCCTTTTATTTCTTCTTTTCTTTTTTTTTTTCTTTTCGTTCGCTACGTTCACTCTTTTTTTTTCATCTCCCACCCTTATTTTCTCGCTGGCAATTTTTGGTCTTGGCAAATTTACCCTGATTCACTCGGAGATAGAAAATCGACGGTATAGTGAAGAAACGGAGAAGAGTAAACGAAGCACAGTGCCATGGGCGCAAAGATAGAACAGAAATAGGGGGTTGATCTTGAGGATGCCTAAGAACCAGCATCCCCTGGACCAGTCGATAGATAATACAAGCAGTTCAGAATTGGACCGTGTACCGTGTAGACTGTGTAACCATTGATATGTGTGATTCCAGACGTCACGTGGTACAGCAGGGTGTTACGTTGCTTCCTGTCGCACATTCGTCTTCCAGCATCCCTCCCTTATCTGAGCGCGTTGACGTTGATACCGGGAGGGGGCAGGGGGGATGGTTTCTGGCAACAGACTCGTGCCTCGAGACAGCCCTATTGCTTTCGCCTAATCTCGCTAATCTGCTCTGCGCAGATTTGGCTTACCGTCCCAAACTCCCTTTATCTATCCCGATAGTAACTCACCCCCGTAGAGACTTAACAGTCATCCCTTGGGATTGCGATTAAGGTATGGTCGCCCGTTAAACGTCCACCGGATGTGCCTGCGGGACAACAAGCTTTCACTAACTGGTCCATACATTCGCTAATCATCCCCTCAAACTTATTAGAGATTCCTCCTCTTCGTTTAAATCCCTTCGACGAACTTCCTTACAGTCGATTATCATTATTACTTGAGGTTATTCAATTAATTTTTATTCGTCCCAGCATCCAATGGTCCTGCCCATCCGAACAGCCAGGAACCAGCAGCACGTCGCTTAAAGTGACTTCCGGAAGTCTGAAGCAACCAGGGTGGAAGTAACCACTGAACTAAAAGTCCCTCGACTTTCACGTTTCCACCACGAACTTTCGACGCTCGACGTCGGTGGCGTCCACGGCGAAAAGCGGGATATTTACCAAGAGCGATCCTCCCGAGTAATCTTCTCCGATGACCTTCGAACTCTTCTCGAGTTCCCAGTGAATCCCTGAACGTCGTCTGCTACCTTAATGAGTTTCCCAGTTAAATCCTCGCTAAATCTCCTCCAATTTCTTCTCAATCTGGATGACATTCAACCCTTATTATCTTCCCGACTTATTGTTAGACATATCTAACTTACATATCGTACCTTATTTCACAGGTAGGTTTATATAATCCAAACCGGGTCATCCTGTATCGGTAGATACATAACACGTGGATGATTTTATAACCAGATATGATTATGGAATAAAGGGGTGAATTTATCATCCCCATTGGTCCGATCGGATAACGGCAAAAGTTTGATAATTAAGTGGCCAAACGAAGTCAAGGTAGGTTAGGTCGATGAAAAACTCAGATTCGATTGTCGGAGAAGAGGTTATGGAGGCCATCAAAATCATAGACCAGGTCAAAGGTCACGACGGTTTATCAGTTCAGCCAGAAAATAATGAGGAAGTTCACAAGACTTCCCGATCTACTGATTACCTTGGAATTATTAAAATTTACAAAATGACGAATTTACACAGGAACCGCCTTGTTACTGACCGTCTGTCTGATTACAGCAGGGTCATTACTACTAGATCCCTTTTGATATTCAGAGACTTACCACTCTATTCGTATCAGGGTTGATTCTCAATCTAGATATTTTGATATCCCTAAAATTTCACTCTTTCTAACTATCAACACTTTCCTGAAGCTTTTCATCCCCCCCCCCTCCACCCACCCCAGCACACCCTAGTGAGATCCGATAAGGCCGAATCCGGTAAATAAATATTGGCGAGACGCGAAATCCAGCCGAATGCCGTTGCTCCTCTCGCTATCGCGCCTTCTGGAAAATGTATTTAGCCAGGGTGTCACAAGACGGAAGTCGGCAGTCGCAACTTGAAGGAGCCAAGGATACAGTTCCAAGAAGGATCTTAAAGGCTATGCAGCTGCCGCTGCTTTAAAGCCAAGAGTGGCAAGTCTGTATAGCAACCAAGTAATTTGACTGGAAACTGAATTGCAGTGAACCCATCTCTCCGGCTTGAAGACTCTCACAACTTGACGTGCTGCTACTTCAGCTCTGACGCATACGTGAAACGGAAGAGGGTAGGTTCGATGGATAAAAAGTGAAAATATGTCAGTATAAAATAAAATCTAAAGAAAATATATCCCCACAACAACAAAGTATCGTATATAGGCATTTTTGAAAATTGGAGAATGCACGATCCAAAAACTTATATTTGGACAGTCATTTAGAGTACCAGCCCGAAGGAACCCGTTCCAAAGATTGCTGCAAAAATCCGTATCGACTTTGGACCAAGCGCTGCTATCCAACCTCTCAGGCTCTGTCTCTAGAATAGTCTGGACCTCACCTTGGTGAAGGTAAGGGTTGCTATTGGTGGCAGACGAGGCAGATTCGGATAGTAGAAGCTCCCAGCGGGATGAGCAGGGTAGCGTGACGTGATCCTGTAGGCTATTCCCTGAGGTTGCGTGGGCCAGTTCGCTGCGGTGAAGGTGAATCCGTTGTCCGTCCCACCGTCCAAGGGGTCGAGCTGATCAAAAAAGGTCAAACACCTGCGTTACCATACTTTCAGGAACGTATTAAAAAATCCAAGGTACCCATCCGACTGTATAGAGGGGGTGCGGGAAAATGTGTAATTTCCGTACCATGCCCTCTAGAGTCATAAATTATGCAGGGTGACTTTACTTAAATCATAATAATAAAAACAAAGAAATAAATTACCTCCACAGTGACGGTGTCCACCCAGTTACCCTCGACGCAGAGCTGAAAAGAGTCCACCCCGATGAACCAGTCAGGGCTGGGGTTAATTCTCGCCATGATGCTAATAAGGGTGTGGTTCCCGTCCAGGAAGGCTCTAGCGATGCTGGTGCCTTCACCCTGGGGAACTGGGGGTCCCGTGAACGAGTGAAGAGTACTAGGAGAGTCGCCACCGGTGTCCAGACCATCCGCTCGGCCACTCTCGACATATTGTCTGGCGCCCAAGGAGAGACGTTCACCCAGCCGGTACAGGGAATAGGAGGAATCATGAGTCCGACCTGAAACATATGAGTATTCACGTAGATATATAGTGTGTACACGATAACTCTGAACCGCGTTGCCATAGCACGGGTCCTTGCTCAGTACATAGCCCTAGCTTGATTTACGTATGTAACTATACTGTGATATTGTGTATAAGCTAACGATATAAGTTAGTTTTAGGATGCAGGCAACCGTAATCGCGTGTCTCGGGGCATTCTAGTCCTTTACGAGCGAATTCGAGCCAAATCCTACAAATGAATTAAGTTTCCCCACATCCGTCTAGCAATTGTGCACGGTTATGCTGGTACCGTTATAACGTCGAAGGTCGACTGGAAATAGCATTAGGCGGACGACATAATAATTGTATTAGGAGTGTACTGAATGTTTGGATCAAAGACAGGCAGGATCTGTGGAACCGGTCAAAGTGAATTTTTAGGATATTTACGTTGGGGCGTAGTTCGCCCGAGTCTTTGAGATCCTATGGATCTTTTCGTTTGCGATGAACCTTGAGGGTGGGTAAAGTGCGAAAACGTGGAATAAGATAGCAGGTTGGTCCTGAAAGGTAAAAAAAGAGTAGTGGGTAAAAAGTGGGAGGGACTGTAAAGTACAGAGGAAATTTCAAACGCCAGAGCACTCGCATCCTACCGATAAACTGGAGAACGTCCGAGGCGCCGGAAGCTGGCCGAGATAGGTGAATTAATGCACCCGCCTGAATTTATAGCCAATTAATGCACCACTCGAGTCCTGCCGAGAGCTGAGAAATATACGGGGCTGCTCGTGAAAAATGTCCCTGTGCTTTGACGCACACATGCGACCCTTAGACTTATCAGTCCTCTGGTCTTATATTCGCTGGTTCCGCTGTGACTCTATTCACGTAGGATCGAATGCCCATACTCGTGGACCATCGTCAGGACTAGGGTCAAAATCATCCTAACAGCGCCAAAGATCAATTCGATGCATTGGACAAGGCTAAAAAATTTGTAAATCTACAGCAACCCTCAAAGCCCCCCCCCCATGCTGGGGGATGTTTTTGATTGGGATGGTGGCACCATGGTGGTTATTAATCCTCGGACATGCCGTTCGGATCAATTGCCAGCTCTGATGCACGTGACGCGTACCGGATGTCTCTCGTGAGTGAATATCCCGATTCCCTAGATACACGCAGACTGGGGCAAGGGAGAGACAGAGGATAAATCGCAACAACCACCGGATAAATCTCAGGCTGTCCTAACCTTTGTCGAGGGTGTAAACACATTGGAGCTGTGATGGCGTTTCTCTCCTGTAACGGCGTCAGGGGGTGTACGTGTTTAAAAGGGGTTAGAAAAGCAACCGAGCACTAGGGTTGTTCTTGGTTTGCGTGTAGTTACAGGGGGGAGGGACCAATACCGCCGCAATCCTGGCGTATTCGGAATGGACTTAATTAGTAGCAAAATTAGCGAAAACCACTGGCCGCGGGAGTTACGTAGTCTGGTTGCGGACAGCTGGTGAAAGGGGTGCGAGGGTGTATATAGGGAGTTGGGATGATAGGGGATGAAAAAGGGGGTAAGAAAAAGAGCAAGTTATAAATAACTTCCGACCGACGAGTAGGCTTGAACCTGCCGCCGCCGACTGTGCTTGGTCCTTGTTGGTCCTCGTGGACGTGGATGATCTAGCAAGAAGTTACCAGAAAGGAAATATTAAAGGTTTCACTAAAATTCGTACTGACTAATTGCATTAATTAATCGCGAATCCGCCAGTCCTTATCGTTGCCAGATTCGAGGCTCCGTTTCTTCCGATGGTCACAGGGGACGAATCCATAATCCCTGAAGTCGAGGGTCTCTCCGATGAAAATGATCTCGCTGAAGGTCCTGGACCTAGGACGGGTACTGGGCTACTGGTATCGGGAAGCACTCCCAAAGGGCCAAAAGTTTGGGAACCCAGGAAAGAATGGCATCCCAGGGCCCTGGGGTTCTCTAATCGTTTGTTCTGGAATCCAGGGGTGTCAGTAATCAGGCCCCTCATCAGGGGCAGCACCATGGCACCCTCCAACGAGGCTCGTCAGACTAGCGACAAAATTCCCAATAATTACCGGATAACAAAGGGGCACGAGAGTACAATATCGAGCTGTAATTAGCGAAGGGTTGCTAACTTCTCACTCATAGACGTCGGCGGTGGAGAACGTCAAAGGGTGGATGGAGGGTGAGAGAGAGAGGAAGGGAGGTGGGAGGGAACGGATGATCGAGGGTTGCCCCAGTGATAATGATGGAAGGAGCTATAGTCACTGAGTGAGAAGCAAAGTCAGCCAGTCACCCCTCGCAGTCACCCAACCAAGAACAAACAGCCACCGCTTGACAAATAGTTGCCGTTGGCTTTTGGCAAAAGGGCTTGTTGGCATTTCGCAATACGAAATTTGCAAAGGGTATAACGACGGAATAGGCGCGGCATCGTAATATAGCAGAGCGTGTACAGTGCGACAGGGACGAAGGGGTTCTGAGGCTTTTAGCAGCCGACAGGAACCTGATTGAAATAAAGACGAAATTGATAAATTTCCAAAGCGAGTTCAGTGGGGTGTAGAGAGGGCTGCAGCTAAGGGCGACCTGAGAAAGACGACTGCGGGTAGAAAGCGGGCCGATTCCGAAGGGTAGCAAATGGTGGAAGCTTCGGTGAACGAGTTTCAAATGAATTGTAAATGTTCTCAGTCGAAGCTATCGGAGCGACCATATTATCTTCGAGGAGTGAATTCCTAGTGAGAGACGGTCCCCCAGGTTACGCTCTGACACATCAGTTCATCACCAGTTTCTAACCAGTTCTCAACAAATTCCCTCGCCAGTTCTTCATGGTTCCACGTGGCAGTTATTCACTAGCTCACCAGACCCCCCCAATCCCACCCGCCACCCCTTAACCCCATCAACCCCTCTGAAGCTACCACCAAAAACAACTTTTCAACTTTTCCTCCCCCTCGCACCCCTTCCTCGCCCGCGGAGTCACTCGCTCACAGACTCACACCCTCCTGGACCCACAGTCAGGAACCCCTTCTACTCGAGTAATTCCATCTCTGGTCCGCTCCCGATTTCCTGTGGTTCGCCACACTTCCCGGCCCCACAATCGATTATCCCGAATTATACGTAGACCTTCCTCCCGCGTGTTTCCACGCATCCCCCTAGGCCCGCAAGCACGCCCCGTAGCAATAGAGAGAGATAGAGAGAAAGGGCTGGGTTCTGGGATCGGTACCGTTCCAGGTCTTCCCTAACAGCGGCGAGCACCGGAGCATCTGGATACTCGTGGAAAACCACCCTCCCGGGCCACCCCCTTTGCCTGCAGGAGTTTCTCTGGCAATGCCAGTCCGCTAACCATACCGAAATAATACCTACGAATCCTTACATTCCCACATATCCCGTATCCTCAAGCATGCATGTACCATAAACCCACCCTTAGTTATTAGGCATCCAGATATATCTACCCCTACCCAAGATACCTTGGTATATGTCGCCTAAGCTCAAAACTGAATCGCAGAGACAACCCGGTGGGAACTTCCTGAAACTTGCCTGACGCTAACTTGGCTTGAACTCTCGTTAACGCACCCGATATATACATACACGTAGTTAGGGGTGCGCGTGTCTCGCCTGGAAGACATCAACCCCTAAGATCCCTGCGATATCTTCGCAATATGTTCATGAGATGTTGGCGAGCTGTTCGCGACATGACGCGTCGACCGCATTCCGCATCCAGATGAATGTCTGATCTGGCTGTTCGTATGGGAGCAGGATGAGTCTGGCGGGGCGGGGGGGG